AAATCTAATCTAGCAGCCACCAATCAAGATCATGAATGATTTAGTTCAGCTCATTAATAAATTACAACAATCTCATCCTAAATAATCAATAGACCAATGACTGCTGGCTATGTGATCGTCACCTTAGCGTTATTGTATGTTGGTCGGCCTTACCTTGACCTGCCACTGGCCCCCAATTTTGTGATGGGCATTACATGTTTGTGACGCAGAAGAAAGCGCTGCTCCACTTGCCATCGCATGTAAAGCTTCATGATCCTTATTGATGATGCTTAGAGAGCTGGGATCATCAGGAGATTTGGGCACTTTTCAGGCCTCAGCTGTTTTAGACATGGTAAGCTGCTTTTACGTATTAACATACCAATGACCTTTATATTTTTGTGGTCCATCAGCCGGATTCCGTTTTTCAGGAGGTGTGCTTTAAGGTCCTAGACAAGCGCTGCTATCCATCAGTATTCATCAACTCATTTATCAGTGGCTGACATTTATCAAACATCAGTCCCAGTGCGAGATCTAAAACGGGCATGTCCCACTTCCAAATGCAGGCTGTCCGCTCATTCGACTTTACGACTGGAGTTAACTTGTGAAAAATTCCCCGCAGGTTCGCTCAGTTTTGCGTGCCTAAAAAACAGTCGATTCGACACGTTCGGGAGCAAGAGTGTTTGATAGTCGGTCAGGTCACCGAGAGTGTTTGATAGTCGGTCAGGTCACCGAGAGTGCGTCGCGACGTTTGCCTGCGCATACAGTAATGCCTGGTTCTCTCCCGTGTTTTCGATCGTTTCAGGGTAATTCGTCCACTGCTTGGACTGTCTCCCAGTCACGTACCGTTGCATTATGTGACCGGCGTCGGAGGTCATCTGACCAGCATTGGCGGTCAGTCGAACAGCATCGGAGGTCATAGTGAGTTAAACTTACAGGTGTTGTACCAGCACGATTCACCATGCCCATTTGTGTGAAATAGGTGATTACATCTTACGCACTGCACACAAATGAATTTTACACAACCTGTGGAACTTCAAGAACTGGAAAAATTAGATCCGATGTGAGGATCTGACACGATCTTGATCTGACCTGACATGACCCATGATGGCGTGATCCTGAAGCACAAAACTGCGCTCCTTCGGGTCATACCAAGAGCGCACCGGCATACAACTGATATTGCAGATGTCAGGCGACCGTCAAGTCGTTCAAAGACTAGGCCGATTTTCAAGCTATTTTGCGCAATCTGTAACGTAATTATCACCTGAAATCTGCCAACTAAATAATTTCTGGCTAAGATTGACCAAGGTTTCCGGCTGGCGCCTGCATTTGGCCGATTCGACACAGATTCTGGGTTACCCGGCAGGGTATGGTTGCCTTTTACCCCCTCCGACGAGGACGCGAGTGGTGGAATATTCCAGGCATGCAGGGCTCATAAGAGTCGTACGTACGTCGAAAACGTCCAATACGTCCAAAACAAGTAAATACAAATATAAATACAAATACAAATACAAAATAAAAATACAGAACAAAATACAAAACAAGTAAAAAGTAAATACGTCCAAAACAAGCAAAAAACTAGCCGAGTTGTTCAGCAACTCTCGCAGTTACATCCCGGCAAGTTCAGAACGCCAGATCGCCGCGATCACCTGCTGGGCGCGCAACGACCGAGCGCTTGGACCGGTGCGGAGCTGCCGCCTCACGCAGACACGCGTCTGGGGACTACCGTATAGTGCTGTTGTTCTTCTGAACTAAGTGTTTGTGTTTGGACGTGTGCAGCCATTTGTAACCGCGACCGTGGATTTCACCTCGCCGCAGTTTCGGGGACCACGATAAGGTTGTAGGTTTTCTGGGCATCGTGCTTCGTTTTTTACACATACTCGATTTCCTCCAGCCGAAAACCAGGAATAAGAAGTGGACATGAAGTTGACACGATTTTTATTGACACGGCAAATTATGAGTGGCAACGGACCTCCTTGAGGGTAGCGGTTTTCAACAACTGTGCTGGCATATTCTTGTCTCTATTCACGCACCCCAGTCATCGTATAACATCATCATGTAACTGGTTTCAACAGAGATGTTAAAACCGGTGGTGCGAATCCCAATTCACTCCGAGTGTAAATCCAAAGAGATAAACAAGTTTTAACTGTCGCCTTCGTTACGGTCGAAGTGAGGCTGGTCATTTTTGACTGGGAAACTTTCGACTCCACCAAGCCTCAAGTCGTCCTTGACTGTTTGAATGTCGAACCCATAATGCGAATCTTACCGGACGGCCGTCCGGGTGTCGTTTGTTCTGCATGCCGGCCGAGCCGGGCCCGCTATCGCCACTCCATCACCACTCCATCACCACTCCATCACCACTCCCGGACCCCAGCAGTGGACAGCTGTCGATTTTGCCGAGCCTCCGCAGTGGAGGCAGCTCCCTCGCGCTGCTCATATTGGACATTGACATTGGACGCGGCACTCTCGTCACAAGCTGCTGCATTGATCCGGAGCTTAAGCTGGATAAGTTTTGGTGCAGAGTGACCCGGCAATCTGAAGATGCTGGCGTTGAGGGCCAGCCCATGCTGTGGCGGAATCAAAAGGCGGTCATGGTTCTGAGTGACAAAGTTTCCTGAAGAGGAGGTGGTGGCTACGAATGACCTGTGTGGTATATGTGACTTACGTGAATCACGCTCATCCAGAAAGGCGCCCGCCTTTCTGGATGATTGAGGAGTTTTGAGATAGCAAACACTACGCTGTGAAACAAAATAATGGCTAAAAGTGACGGCAAGTGGGCAGGTTACGAAGTCCTGCCTTCTTGCACAGTCTGCTCTTCCTGATCACTGTGGTCACAAATCACCCTCATGATGTGATCTGCTGAGGTCTACATTAGGCCTTCGTGAGCTCGTGAACAGATTACCTCTGCGAAAGCTGCACACATTAGTTAAGTTATTGAGATATGTTGATGTCAATATCAGCTTGTTGCATTGTGATCCATGTTTGCCCTGCCCCGCCAAAACCGCGGTCTGACATTGTATCTCGGGTATAGATCAATTTTCGGTCCCGACGAATTTGTATGGTTGTAGCGGTATGTGAATTTTATTTTGAAACACCCTGTCTAAGATATCGATGCATAATATTTTGTCCAAAGCACCAACGGTGTACACTCAACGGATATTATTCATTCGTCGCCTTGTTATCTTATTATGATTAATGCACGGATGTCGCGGGAAGCAAAGTGGAAGCACAATTGTCAAACACATGATAACGGCTGTAAGGCAGCTGTGTCATCCAATACATTGTTTGCTTGTCGAATCGAACGACGTCCTATCCATGCAAGGACAAATGGGAAGGAAATTTATATGAGCATTCGCCATTTATCGCTATGCATTAAGCTCACTCACCCACGCCCCATTCCACAAGCCTGAAGACGAGCTATACACCATGTGGCATTTGGGTTACATAAGATAGCACTATATACATATAATGATAGCCTATATGTGTGCTGATTTGCAAAAATTATCCATGTCCGTTAAAAAAGAATTTGTTAAGCTGATAGCCTTTGCCACCTGGTAATAAGATGTGAGGTCTGAGACCGCTGCTTATCGAAGAACTGGACTCTGTAAAACAGAGCGAAAGGGAAAAACGTTTTTCTCCTGTGTCGTCATTAAGTGTTAATTCCGGACGTTCCCTTAGGTCCTGGCCCTCGAAAACGTGGCAGTAACTTAAAGATGCAGTATAAGGTTCCCTGTTGGCCCTTATTAAGTCTTGCGCACATTTGTTTCGTCAGAATTGAAAGATATGCGTGCTGATAAGTAGACAAGTGTATAATGATGTTTAATAAAGCCTGTAACAAGATCGTCATTTGAGTAAATGCGATGCAGTGCAGTTAGAAAATCGAGTTTCCAAGCTTGCTTCAACACTGCATGATAGCATTTGAATTCTACAAGTATATCTTTCATTCGCGTATTTCACCTCCTCGTCACTTCAGCTGGACCCTGTGTGAATTCCATCCAATCTTTTCGAAATAGGCGCAAACATTGGAAATACGAGGATTGGCGATGAAAGCTGTCTGTTGGAGCATTTCAGTGCAGGATTAAGTTGGGGCATACAAAACATGGTCCCATCTAATCAACCATGAACTTGACCAGGGTGTGTTACCGCCCCTGTCTGAAGTTGGATGTCCTCGCCTTCTGTGAAGCCGGTGCAACTGACAAACCAAATTACTAGCATTGTTTGCGAACGACGGGATAAATAAAATAGAATAGACCGTGGGGCATAGCAAGGTATGTCCTAAATACTGATTGTATTGGTCACTCAGTGGCGATCATTGCCGCTTTCTATTTCAATAATCTTCTGCTCATGTATATATGTATATATGTATATATATATATATATATATATATATATATATATATATGTATATATATTACCAACCAGTCATAAATGCCACCAGCCATTTACTAAAATGGACGCGTATGGAATTTATTCATTCTTTCACTGCAGTTGTTACTTTCGCGGTTTGTTCATTTCTGTATGTGCTGGCAAAAGAAGTCGCTAATAACATCTGATTTTCTGATGCAGGTGTTAGTGTTTGTCGCTCAACATCGCAAAGGGCAGGAGTGTGGTATCACCTAGCCACCTGTTCCATGGAGTGTGAGTGTCCCCGGACACTCGTTCCATGGTAACGGGTGGGAACAAGGCGCTGATCAAAAGCAAGCGTTAACTCAGGTGACACCACGCAAGATGCAGCATAGCATAGCATAGCATAGCATAGCATAGCATAGCATAGCATAGCATAGCATAGCATAGCATAGCATAGCATAGCATAGCACTTATTCATAGACATGCTCTGATCCTTTCGAGATTGTTGTCAAATCGTTCCGAAACCATTGCTCGTTTGATGACAACAGTTAAAAACTGCGGAATGTCAGTTACGGAAATGATAGGCCAATTATGAAATAGCGAGCCCTTCCCTGCGACTAGTCTGGCCGGGCAGACTCGTGACTGGTAAAGGTTGCTCTCCGACCAGCCTCACTCACCGACAGCTGTGGCCAGCAGCATCAGCACCAGTGCAGCACCGCTGCTGCCCGCCCACGCACACATGGCTCGGCTGGTGCTCACTTAGATCATGACGCCCTACGCGTCACCAACGTCACGCTCAGCACGGTCAGGTCACGGTCAGGTCGCTTTCAGGTCACCGTCAGGTCACGGTCAGGTCGCGATCAAGTTGCAGGTATGTCAGTCAGGTCTCAGTCAGGTCACAGTCGGCCAGATCCAAGTCGGGGTCAGTTCACGGCCTGGTCACGGTCAGATCGCAATCAGATCACGACCAGGTCACGGTCAGGTCACGCCGTGGCCACGACCGGTCTAGCGCCGGTGCCGCGGCGGGGCTGCAGGGAACACCGCCCGTGGTCGCTGCGCCGGCGGCACTGACCGGCCGCCGGCAGAGTCCGGTGCCATCGATATGGCGGCCGAGAGGAGCCGACGGCAGGCGCAGGCCGCCGCCGCACGTGCCGCCGCCGCGTCCCCCTCCCCCTTCCCCGCCGCCCAGACCCCCATCACTGGAGCGGGGCGAGAGGGGCGTGGACGGAACGAGGCGTGAGCGATCGGAGTGGGTGGACCCTGGCCGCAGGCGGGAGAGGCTCTGCCAGCGAGCACGGAGAGAGACATCATCAAACCTCAGCGGTCCCCTCAGCGGACCTCAGCGGTCCCCCATTCACTCTTTAATTCGTGCTACTCTCATATCGCCCGGCCCAAGAGAGAGAAGACATGAAAAGCGGTAGTCGGGGATATGTTATACGTGTGCCCATGTAAAATCTGGGGAACGAGAGGGGCGTAATCAGGAAGAAAGGTTCTAAACTGCTGAAGGGGTCAGTATCTTCCGGCCAGATTGAACGATGGCTCCAGTGCTGGACTCATTCGGAATGTGAAGCGAAACACATCGGTGAGGATTAAGTTAGTGAGGAAAGGTTGAACTGGAACGACCATGTGGTATTAAACGAATGGCTCTTAGATAAGTTAGGTCAAGTTCCGAACGTGGTGAGGGGATCGACGAATTCTACGGGGACGTAATGGTAAAGTTTCGACGACGGACTGGAAATGAGCGAGATAAAATGAGTCAAACGAGCAATTCGAACAATAAAGCTACGACATTTACCTTCGTTCTCGCTCGTTTCCCATTTTTGTTTTTCTCTTTCATTTGTATATGTATATTTGGATATGTATATATGAAAGTTTTGTTATATACAAGGCTAAAAAATGTACAGATCAGCAGTTTCCTCTGTGTTTGTTCGATTCGTCGAATTACGCCCTTCGTTGTTTTCGGTAAGCCATAAATCAGTTCGCCTATAATCATCTACATTACTTAAAGTTCGTTAATGTCTCAAGGACATCCCTTACTCATTCTCAACCCAATGCAAGACAGTCAGACGAAAAACACTCGAAGATGTAGAGATACGAGGTATGCTTTACGATACATAATCCAAAGTGAGCCATCAGTTAACAAATTATGCAACCGAATGAGAGGTCAAATTACAAAAGACATACAGGCACACGCATATCATTTTTCTAGAGAGTATGACACCCTGGCAAAGTCAAGATATTTACCCTGTTGTCATTAGGTGACCGAACAGGGCCAAAGCGATGCATGGCTTAAGCGGTTCGTTTAAAGGGAATGTTCCCCATTTGAAGATACTGAGTTAGGCATCAGATATGATGGGAAATGCTTCCTTGTAACTATTGGCAGGCTTTCAAAGTTCAAAAACAAAACTAAGTAGCAACATTTCAAAGTTTATAAAAATGGGACCAATTACGTCATTTTTTGATGGCGTCATGAAATGTATTTGTGACGACAGCAAAACCTGGCAGCATCTGGCAGCCAGACCTAAAGAATATCTCGAAACACACGAAAGCTGACGTTAACCGGCCATTCTCCTCGCGGGGTTGTGTCGGGGGGGGGGGGGGGGGGCGATTGGTGGGTGGGTTATTTGTGGATTTTTTGTATTGGTGCTGGCGGTAAGAAAAGCTTTCGTGGTCTGTTTGACATGCGCAACGTGGCCATCGCCAGCTTTTATGGCAGATTATTAATATCAAAGCACGATATGCTGCGCTCCTGCTGTTGCTGCCTTGCTGTTCATGATTTTGTTAATACTTTATAGTCGACCCATCGTTGCGCGCAGTGCTGTAGTCCTGACATTGATGTCATGTGGTATGTACAGTAGTCACTGTCCTTTTTGCTTGTAACTGGAAATGGTGTGACGTGCCAAAATTAATGAATTTGTGACATTGTGTTTATTGTTTGCAATTGGAAATGTGGTGTCATGCGAAAATTAATAAATTTATCATGTTGCCATGCATTGATTTTCAAAGTATTGCTATTGCTCTGGTAAAGATGGTAACGTTGGGCTACCAATATATATATATATATATATATATATATATATATATATGCTTAGGATTGTTCATGCAATTAATAGTCAACCCTCATATAACCATTGTGGTGCAATGACATTCTCGCCATAGACAGTCCTTTTTTCATTGCTAAACAAATTTTTACCAGTCATTCATAAATTATAAGCCGTTATCTCATAGGCTTGACAAAGAGTACTCAACCAATGTGGTACATTGTGTTATGGCACTGCTCCATAGCTTCATTTTGACACTATCTCGGTATTGTTCTGTGGCATGGCATAATGAAACACAATATGGTTTTTCGACTGCAATCCATGCCTCTTTCATGATAAATTCCAGCATGAAAAGATGGGTCAAGCATGTACTCTTGTATTGACTTCCCATCTGACATATGACTGACCAAAAACACATGACACAATATGCAAATCACTTTCAGCAAAGCAGACAACCAATAAGTGGCATCACTTGCTCAGCCTGCGTCGGGAGTCCAGAAAACGCAGGTGAGAAAGATGGAAACGCATCTTTCACTTCCATGGTCATGCAACATGCTGCAGCCATCAGGCTGCTTTACTAAAAAATAGCACGAACATTTTACATGTGGTGAAATGACACTGCATACATTCTGACGTTGCACAAAGCTGGAGATATGACAAGTGCATGCAGTTATGGTTGGATGGGCAAAATGCAAGGAAGCGATAAAGCCGCCGTTACACACCAGGCTCATGATAAACATATTATTAAGTGCTGTCCAAGACACCAACAGCAATACTTTTCCACCTTTCTCGGCACCCAGCATCCCACGTAAGTTGCAGTGACTATGACATTGATTACTCATGAGCAATGTTCGCCTGCATACAATATTTGTGGAGACGTGTGCATCAGTAACAATAAAACTAGATTTTCAGAATTCTTTAACGAAAGACAATTCTTCAACGCCATATAATGTGAGCCTGTACTGAGCATGTCCATTAATGAGCTGCACACACCAGCCCCTACTGCCAAAATGAATTGCTGATATAATGACATGCAATGGATTAATTACATCCTGTAATGCCTCAATAGGTTGACAATGTTGACAAAATCATAATCGAGCACCAGTACCAGTACTTGCCTTTGTACACCCCTGCAATAAAAGTGCTAGTGTTTCTCTCAGTTTGCCAGCGTTCCTTTGTTACGTTCAAGCACAAACATAAAGGTAGAGACAGGCATCAGTATCAATAGGCATCAATATATCAGGCACCAATATATCACATTTCATTGGGAGTCCGTAGACTGAAGAGTACCAAAACAATGTTCTCTCTCAGAAGAACAAGCCTCGCACGCACACTCCCCATCACATCAATGCCAATACAAGCCACTGGCACACACCACCAGTTATCACACACATTTCGAGCCCCCGATTCACACTATTTTGTCAAATAAGTGTGATCTCACATTTGCACAGCTTGCGGGGCTATCAAATCGCAGGTTTTCTCACAATTTCCGCACAGATCTTCAGTCACAACACCGGACTTCACTGTGGCCTTCCTTCGAGACAAAGTCCCAACGGGGGTTCATGGTAATGCGGCTCAAGAGGTTCTTCTTGTAAAACATAATTTGTTGTTCAAGATTTGAATTTGTCGTATCACACGTGTGAAATACTTTGGTATATATATATATATATATATATATATATATATATATATATATATATATATATATATATATATATATATATATATATATATATATATATATGTGTGTGTGTGTGTGTGTGTGTGTGTGTACAAAATTGATGTAATATTTCCCTAATTTCATAATGTCTTGCTAACCGATAAACCCGTGCAAGGTTATGTGCTCCGGTACACAAGGCGCCAACCGAGCTGTCTGTAAGCGATACGTTAGAAGAAAAAAACGTCAGCAGGAGAAAAAGACAGATTTGCCGTCGCGTCTTATTTCTTATAACTTCCGGAGAGTGCCCATTGTTGGGGGGTGCCGTACTTTTTGGCAGACGGTGGAGTTCTTTTTATAACATTGACCTGCAGCCTAGAAATAAGGAAAAATGATCCGCTCACGACGAGTGTCGCACAACCCGAAATTGCTCACGTTTGTGCTCGGGACACGCATTCAGCAGTAAAATCTTACTGATAGCCAATCATCTCCCGCGGACTTTACCACATGTGCAGCATCATTACCTTTGCGAATGTATCAGCGACCATGCTGTTTTGCCCATAAACAAAAACAGCCTGTAATATCACGGGGATCTAATGACGTTTCTCTGGCGTCATTAATGAAAAGGCGATTTTAAGTTGGCTGTAAATAAGCCTTTTCGTACTTTGCGGCGTGTAACTCAGGAACCGGAGCGCTTTGCGTCTTAAAAGGGCATATCCGCGAACTGCATCAAAATGTCCTCAAGATGGCCATTTTAGTTCAAAACGCCATACAGATGCGAAACATTCCCTTAAGTCAGGCATTTTTGCTGTGATGAGTATGGCTTCGGGAACTTTAAAACGGCGTTTGTTGGACATTATTTTAGAATCTGTGATTTTCAGGTAGGTTTGAGCGTAAGACTTTTCGATTGTGTGCTCTGCGCATGGGTTGGTTTGGCGCTCCCTCCTGCAGCGGCATTGTCATGCGTCGTGATAGAGATACAGTAGCCATTCCAATGTATATCGAACTGCGGCGCAGGCAGTCCTCATACGGAGATTTCAATTCATATTGGTGCGCTTTAGTTGATTTTAGTCCGCTGTCAGGTTGTTTTTCATCACAAGACCACCAGCAATCCTGCTCTTGTAATAGATGGTAAGTGTTATTTCAGTGTCTTCGTCAATTGGTGCGATCTTTGTCACGATTATTAAAGGTGATTAAAGGCGGACCTAATCTTTTGGTCAATTGTGCTGGTCAAATAACCGTCACTAATGAATCATTTCTTGTACCATTCCAAGTCGTGGCGCCTGCCGGGCCGATCAAATAGGTATATCAAAAACCGTTTACCGACAACTG